ACACTCAGTCACGAAATTAAATGTAAAGAACGTATGGAAAGGACGTGGAAGCACGTGTTCATACAGGTGGGGTGAATATCACTGGGGCGCAATTGATACAAGGGGAAGGTAAATGAATATATAAATATACATGGTGGGTCTCCGCAACTCCATCAGGTAACGGCATGGTGGTCATCTCCCTCCAATAAACACACTCGTCGAATATCGCGCACCTGTTCACCGGCAGATGCTCTTAATCTCACTGTTCCTACTAGTCCATCTGAGTATGTGTGGCTATCTATGCTCACACCCAGTGACCAGCTGTCGAGTTGTAGCTTTTCGTCGGCCATAAGAACAACGTCCCAACCTTCAGTGACCGTTCTCTATGCAACCACTTCTGTCGAGCTTGAAGGGTTGGCAGGTACTCTTTTGTCCAACGCTTCCAAAACACCCGTGCCAGATAGTTCGCATGCTTCCAACCCGAGGTATAGCAGCCACTGATAGTTTTTGACATATCTAGACCACCATTGGACCTCAAAAGCAGGTCACTCGGAGTTGGTGGCAGCCCTTGTAAGCCGTCGCTGGTGACGGCTGTAAGGTGGATTGAAGTGTCATTGTGTTCCAGGTGGCGGCAGTCGGTCTTTCAGGGCGCGTTTGTCTAACCGCATCAACCAGTCGCTCAACTCCTTTTGTGAACCCACGAAATGGGATCCGTTGTCGGAGAACACGTTCGATGGATTACCTCGTCTACCCACGAATCTCTGCCAGGTCATTGTGAACGGAGTCGGTCAACATGCTATGTGTGGTCTCTATATGCAAAGCTCGTGACTGCAGGCAGGTCATCAGGCATCCGTATCGTTTCTCCATCGACTTATTTCGTTTCTCCCACTGTGGCCCAAAGTAGTCCACCCCAGTTTCGGCAAAGGGCCACCAACCTGGTCGTACTCGGGAACTGGGTAACGAGGCCATCAATTGTTTGCTGAATGTAGCATTCTGCGGACGACAGAAGAGACAGTTGCCCACGATGCGCTTCACCGTAGCTCTCTATTTCACTATCCAAAACCTACGGCGAATCGTGTTGATTAAGTGATTTCCCCGGCATGACCTTCCTGCGTGTGAATATGTATGATGAGTGTATGAGTGGTGGTTGTTGGGCAAGATTATGGGATGTTCAGCTTCAAAGTCCAACTCAGAGTTTCTCAATCTTCCGCGTACTCTCAGCAACCCATCTACCAATATTGGACAGAGTCTTCTGAGAAAACTGCAACGTAATGCACGTCGGTCGGAATCACGATTCCCGTTGCCTAACCTCTGAAGCTCCAACGGGAAGGCTTGCGATTGAACCATGCGAACATCAGCTTCTGCTGTTTTCAATTCAGTTGGAACGATTGGCCCAATATTCAAGGTGTCATCAGGTCGGAGTCCTCTCAGAATAACGAGTTGTCGTTTGAATCTGGTCCACCAGACAACCACCCTCAGCACCTTCGTCCATCGTAAAATCGATTTAGTTTCTGCAGCAATATGGTGGTTGAAGCAGCGACTAACGTAACGGTCCTCTTAGTCTCTAGTTACTCTGTTGCGACAGGGGAAATCTGAGTGTTGGACCATCCGCTGGGCAGGTATGTCAAGAAAGCCGGTCCATGTAACCACGATTTTATTTTTTCAAGTCCAGCACACCCTCGGAACAGTAATCCGCTGGATTGTCACCGGTTTTTACGTACCGCCATTGATGCCTCTAATCTTCCCCGTGAAAAAGAGTTAGCCGTTTGGCAATAGATGTGCTAAAGCGTGTCCGTACATTGGTAACATAGTGTAGAATTATGGCGGAATCAGTCCTGTAAGTTACGGTTCATTCGACTGAGTGGAAACACATTTTTAGTATCTTCGACACTCTCACGGCTTATACTGCTGCGGCCAGTTCTAGCCTGGGTATTGCGACTGCCTTTAGGGAAGCGACCCTGGCTTTAGGGAATAGTATACTGCTATGCCTCCCCCCACCTGGCCGAGACGAGCAAATGTAGGCTACTACCCCGTATCCAACCTCCAACGCGTCCGCAAAAATATGTTAGTTGCCTCCTCTCGTTGTATTCCTGATACGGGACGTATATAGCCGTATATCGCTCAGCTTGGACAGGCTCAGCCACCAGCCTTTACAGGTCTTGTGATCCGCTTCGAATAGGGCCTTATTTCAAGCAACCTATTTTTACACAGGTCCTGTGGCAGAATCTTGCCCGGCAGTAGCCACGGTGCGAAGAACCCCATTGGATCGTAAAGTCTGTCTAGCGAAGACAGAATCCCTCCGCGAGTCGCCGTCTTTTCGGGTAGCTGGAGTTGGAACAACACTCATCGTTCCTACTGCACACCAAGTGCTCTATCTGTTGGTAACGGACTCCCCTGCAAGTCACGGATACTCGATGACCGCTCATCAACTGGGATGCAATCGATTGCATGATGACTGTTGGACATCCACTTGGTTAACTTGAGCACTCCAATGAGCAGTAGCTTAGATAAGTCGCTAATGTGTCGAACTGCATCCTGGAGGCTATCAAGGAATCCCAAGAAGTCGTACACATAAAAGTTGTGGTTAACACAGGAGCCCACAGGGGTTTCAAAACGCTGAGCAAATTTGTTCAAGGTCGTTTTTAACGCAAAGTTTGCACAGAAGGGAGAGGATATTGCGCCAGACGGGTGCACCGTCATCCGACATTCCTGGACAGGTCCATCTACGTCTCCCTCCGGCCACCACCACAACCGTAAAGCGTCCCTTTGCCCTTCGGGGACTTTGACCTGCATGAACATCTCCTCAATATCAGCCGCTACTGCAAATGACTCTAGACAAGATCGGCACAGCACTTCAATCAGCGGAGTCGTCAGATCTGGGCCTTGTAATAGACGGTCATTTAGGGCTATTCCGGCACACCTGGCAGCAAAATCAAACACAACCCTGGTCTTCTGAGGCTCCTTGGGGTTTATCGCAGGGTGGTGCGTGAGGTACCACAATGGTTGCTCTTTTTTGACTTCTCCCATTGCGCGTTTGATATATCCCAACTCTAGATTGCGTTTTATGACATTCAATAGGCTACATTCAAATCTGTGTTCTTTTTCAATCGTCCCTTTAGATAGTTCAGCCTATGAGGGGCTATCTCTCGATTATTGGGCAGTCAATTGGATCCCGTTCACCAGGGTAACGGCACTTCAAACTGAGTTTCGTTGTGTCGTGTCGTTTTGGTGACGAAAGCCAGGGCTGCTCGGTCTTACCTCGCCATATATACTCGGTCATCTGCTAATTCCCCGAACTCGTGGTTGTATAGTCGCTCTAGGTCGTCTCCTATGAGATTATCTGGCCGCTAGATGTAGTTGATTGAGGCTGAGATTGAAGCTGGATCTTTGGAACACAATCTACTTTGGTACATACTTTTATGAGTATTGTGACCCAAAAATTCTTATTTTATATCCATTTGATTTCGTTTTCGTCGAACTCAACTGGCCCACCTCCGTGGCACATGCCAACCAGGTAGCGGTATCCATTTTCTCAACTGATGTTCTACCAATACACGTATCCACCTCAATTTTGGATCTGTACCGAAAGACATTTTGATAACATCCCTTTTCCAGTATTATGACCTAAGCACCCTGCTTGATTAGAATTTGTCGTTTGCTTCTTGCTATTTCTCTCCTCAATCCCTTCTCAGCTGGGTTGCACCCCAGACTGCCGATGTTCGCCTTCCTATTCCAGATCCGG